TGATGATCATGACCACCAGCAGGAAGACACCAATCTGTATGTAGGGGAGGATGTTCGATGCCATCATAATGCCACCAGCCAGACCCGTCGTAGTTGCAGCCATCACCGTCGGTCCGATAATGCGCGACAGCACAAACTGTGTGGCGGCAATCCGCTCTTTGATTGGTGACATTCGATAATGAATGCCGTAGTGCAGGCTAAAGTCCACTGCCAGTCCAATGGCTGTGCTGACAGCGATACTCTCGAGAATGTTTAGCTGCCAGCCGAGCAGGATGAGCACCGCCACAGTGTTGAAAATGCTCAGGGAGACGGTGAGCACGGCATAGATGGAGATGAGCAGGTTGAGGGTGAAGCACAGCAGCACAAGGAGCGAGGCGGCCATGGCCAATGTAATCGCAACGATTGTGTCATGCGAAAGCGTGTCCTGAACATTGTAGAACTTTAGATCGCTGGTGAACCATCCGCCACGCAATTCCACGGGCGCTGTGGCTAATTGCTGCTGAAACCAATGCTCCACGGTCTCGTAGAACTCCTTGATGTTGGCATAGACAGTGCTGTAGGCGACATTCGATTCGAATTCAATTACCAGCGCCTTGACTGAAAGCGATATGGCACTCCCATTGGCGCCGGCTGACTCCAAGCTATCATTTACACTGATGCCGTAATAATCATCCTCTTCCAGTGGATTGGTCGATGCAAACTTGGGTCCCGCCACACCTGGCTGGAAGAACATGGTTGTGTCGTAGAGATTGGCCACGCTCTGGGGCAGGCACAGGTCAAAAATGTGAGGTTCGTATGGAAACTGAGCGTCGCAGCAGGGCGAACGATCCTTACGTCTGATGTCCATGTCATCGATGCATCTGTGGGGTCAAACTGTGCCATTAATATTTAGTTCATTGATTATGCAAATGTGCACTCACCTTCGCTTCATGAAATCGATGAGATTTTCGATAAAACAATTTGGCAGCAACATGCCAAAGGTCTCTTGATAAAACGGCTGCTGGCGCACACTCTGGCAAAAGTCGAGGACCCAGAGCTGCGCTGGCTTGCTGGATATACTAAAATTATTGTCATAGTGGAGGCTGCCATACGATTTGGGGTTCGTATAGTCGCCGTCGTCCACAGCCTGCACACCCCACACAAAGTGCATGTGCATCTTGAAGTTCTCGTACACCTGCAGCGGCTTCTCGAACCAAAACTGATGCTTAATACTTGAGTAAACTTCGAACGGATGCTGCGACACAAATAGCTGGAAGTGAGATTTTTCTGGCAGCTGGAGTCCTGGATACCAGAACACAATGATGGCACTCGATGTGCCCAAAGCCCCGAAGAGCAACAGCCACATGTAGGCATAGTTCATGATGCTCTGCGTTATGCACTCCTCGAACACCTGACAAAATCTGTTAATTGACTTTTTGCAGGAATGCATGAGCCTCTGAAGTAGTGGCTGGCGACAGGAAATTCTGCTTGCAAAAAGGCGTTCCATTATGGACACCGTCGCGGGCAGCCAGGTGATCATTAGCAGATAATTTGTCACCACAACCGTGCCCGCAAATATCCTAAAAAATATCCGATAATTAGTTGAACGCAAAGCGAAGACGTACAGCTTACCCAAAGCACTTGATGGCCGTTATGGAGCTGCTGTAGGAGGCATAAAAAGCGCCAGCTGTGGTCAGCGATGTGACAAACATGGAGGCAGCCGCATGCCGCATTGTCAGGGCCATAATGTTCTCCAACGTCTCCGTGTGCTCGCCATGCTCCAGCGGTGTGGGCAGCGCACTCTGCGACTGTGCGGTGGTCAGTGTGCAGCGGTTCGTGCAGCCAAATCTTTCGGTCAACACACACTGCCAGATTTTTAAAAACAAAAACACATCGTCTGCCCCAATGCCAATGATCACGACCACGGCCAGCAGGTTCATGTAGGGAAAGAAGGCAAACTCCAGGACTATGGCATAGACAAAGTAGGCCAGTCCCAACGAGAAACAAACGGCCACGCAGGACATGGCTGTGATGAAGGCGGAACCGGTGTACAGCCAAACGCTGGCCATCACAAAGAGTCCGCCCAGCGACACCAGCCAGACGTCCGTCAGCAGCAGCTCATTGAAGAGTTCATTCTCCAGGCCCAGGTCCATGGCAATCACTTCCACCAGCTCGTTGCGTAGCTCTCTGAAAATAGAGTCATTAAACATTTCAAATAAACAAAATCTAAATCTAAAATAAGTCAGTGAAATGGCGCCGAAGACGAGGGAAGCTCAATTGGCGGAAATGGATCTGATATTCCTGGAGGATGTGCTGCCCAAGTGCCACAAGTGTCTTACCACCACACAGACGGACTACGTGAATCATCATAGAGGCGGTCGTCCGTTGCGTTGCAAAAAGATAGCCCAGGAAGACCCCTCGCTGCTCTCTGGCCACTATGCGAACAACCTGAAGGTGAATGGACAGGAAATGAAGACAAAGAGCTGGCCGCTCTCCATGGACTGGCGCGAGGAGTACGAGCAGTTTGTGAGGCGCAACAAGTGGTGCAACGAGGAGATCTACAAGCTCTTCTTTCTGTCTCCGCCCGTGCAGTACAAACAGATCGAACAATATCTGAAAGACCTGCAAAAGACTGTGTACATGTTCGACTACTCGCCCAAGGAGTACGTTTCGCTGCTGAGCCAACGACGTCGCAACCAGGACAAAGAGGAGCTGGAGCGTGACAGCAAGCACAAGGATTATTGGACTACCTACGGGAACTATTACAATCGCGTACAAGAAACGGAGCAATTCCGGGATGCCATCTATGCGGAGCCAAAGCCAAAAGACTTTTCAGTGGAGAACTTTGCCAAAGTGATGCGTAAACTGTTTACAAAGTACAATCTGACCACGTACTTTGATGATATATGCGTGCCAGCACTGTTCATGGCAAAGAATGGCATAATGCCATCGGGGCCAATCGATTGCTATACCCAAAGGAAGTACTGAGTGGAGGGAGTCTATCAGCCATACTTACGCATCTTCCCATTCGTGAAAGAGTGGCAGCCCACGGTTCGAGTGCGCCACAGGAACAAAGATCATGGCGTACTTCAAGTAAACGTGCGAATTCTACAACAAATATTCTCATTAAATATGGTTTAATATTCACAAGAAGTATCAAAGCTTACGTTTGGCTTGATGAAGCTAAAATCGCTGAGAAAATTGAGCACATTGTAGACCAAATTGTGGCGCTTGCATTGCTCTGGCGCATAGCAACGTGAGTACTCATTGCAGTTGTTATCCAACTTTAAATCGTGAAAGTACTCAAAGCAGCCCACGAGCAGCGACTGCAGTGAGCTCACATCCTCCGTCGTTAGGTCGAAACAGGAACTTTTGTTGGCCAGCATTGCGGCATAGTTGGGCAGCGACCAGGGCCGACAGCAGTCGGAAGTCAGCTTCTCGGGCTCACAGTATGCCTTGTAGCTGGGAACGTCTCTGATCTGCTCCTGCAGCTGGCACATGGCCAATAGGCCGTTCAAATCAAACAGCGAATCGGTGGCATTGGGTCCAATGCGCTGCACCACAAAGTGAGAATATTCCTTGCGTGGTGACGCATCGCAGAAGAATCCCTCAATGGGCTGGCGCAGGTGTGCATCCGCCCAACTGTCGGTGGGCAATGTGGCGGCCTGCTTCAGCAGCCGCCAGGTGCTCTTCTTGGTTTGTACGCGTTCCCGGTGCTTTTCCTCATCCACCGAAGTCGTATTGTGTCCGTACTGAATTTTCTCACTGCGCCCCGTCGACTCCAGCGGGGAGGCGGCACTGTCGTTGGTTATCTCATAGTCTCGAAAGACGCCGCTGTCGCCCATCCATGTGTCACGGTCACTCTCACTCTTTGGGGCACTCGTCCCCTTCAGGCGCTTCTTGAGCAGCATAAGCTTTTCGGCCATCTCCGAGTGCTCGTGGCGCTGCTGATCCTTTCGCCGTTTGTTCTTGTTCTTTTGTTTCCGCTGGTTCTTGCGCCGCCTGTGATTGGGATGCAGCTGGGACACGCCGTAGCCCTCATCCACTCTGCGCTTCTCCCAGATAACCGACGGATTCGAGAAGAGCACCCCGTGCCTGTCGGTCTCCTGCAGAAGATTGTACCAGGCCGTCAGGCGCTTTCCGATTTTGGTGCCTCTAGTCTCGAACCCCTGAAATGCGTATGGAGAAGGAGTATGAGGAGTAGGGAGGAGTGAGCATGCGTAGACATGTGCGTGGACCAGCAGCAGCCCAGATACGTACCAAGGTGGGGTCACTGAAGTCGGGCAGCTTGTTGAGGATGAGCGCCACTATTATGCAGGCCACGCAACAGACTGCAATGGAGACCACAACCAGGTACGGGCGTCTGGCCAGGACATGGTAGTACCAGTTCATCTTCTCCGAGTCGAAGCACAGCATGCCGAGGCCGCGGTTCGTTTCAATCGTTTGAATATTTGTTTCGATCTCTGTTTATTTTCTTGTCATAGTTGCTGTTGCTGTTGCTCCTAGTCCTACTCCATCATATGTGTATTTCTTGCGGTGTCTCAGAAAACCAGGGCAGGGTCAAATGCTATTGTTTTGGTTTTGTTATAGATACTGCCTGGGTTTTTTTCGCTATGCAGGCTCATAAATCCACTTGTTGGCGCTTGGTGTGCGGAATTACATTGTGGCCGGGCGAGCGTGCAACTAATTTGGGGCTTGGAACTAACTAAAACAAAAAAGGAACCAAAAATTATGCGAACAAGGATAATGCAGAAAAACACTGTGAAATAACAACAAAAAAGCAGGATGCGATAGGACTGTAAGAGCCAATCGATGGTTTGAGAGTTGTGCGATAGGGTCGATCTATCGATATATGGTGTGAGAGACAAAGTAGGATAACAAAGTCTAGTAAATCAATTAAAAGCAATACTGTATGCACTTAAAAACAATTTAATATATAAACTAATTGAACAACTTAGAAAAAATTTATTATTTCGATGGCTAAAACCATCGATAGTTTTTTCAGATGTTAATTATCGACCATGGACCATCCCTACCTGCTCTGCAATGTTTTGTAATCGTATTTACCAGAGTTAAGATTTAAATTTTATAAATAAGAAATGCTGCGACGAGCCCAGTGCCTTCTGCGAATGCACAGCAGCACTAGCCGGCAGTCGCTCTGTGCCGCACAGCGCGTACCCGTTGCACTCCACAAACATTACTCAGCTGACGAGGCGAATCGGGATGGAAAACAGAATCCGAATGCAAAGCGTGCCGGCACAGGTGGCTCCAAGAGCCTGCCAGCTGTGCGGAATGTGTTTGCAACGGCACAGGACAAGACGAAGGACACGTACCTAACCATGGTGGAGATCTTCGGGGAGCGCGATGTGCACAGGCGCAACCATGTCGAGTTCATCTACGCGGCACTGAAGCACATGCCCGACTTTGGCGTGGAGAACGACCTAGAGGTGTACAAGGCGCTGATCAATGTGATGCCCAAGGGAAAGTTCATACCGACGAACCTGTTCCAGGCCGAATTCATGCACTATCCCAAGCAGCAGCAGTGCATCATCGACCTGCTGGAGCAGATGGAGGACTTTGGCGTCATGCCCGACTACGAGATGGAGGCCATGCTGCTGAATGTGTTCGGCAACAAGGGGCACCCACTGCGCAAGTACTGGCGGATGATGTACTGGATGCCCAAGTTCAAGAACCTCTCCCCCTGGCCTCTGCCCAACCCAGTGCCCGACGACACGCTGGAAATCGCCAAGCTGGCCGTCGAGCGGATGTGCACTGTGGATCTGCGGTCGCAGATTAACGTATTCGAGACGAAGGAGCTGAACGACGCCGTGGACGAGACATGGATCGTGAGCGGCATGAGCCCGGAGCAGTCGAAGCTGTTGCGTGAACATTCGCGGCAAAAGGCGCTCTACATCGAAGGCCCCTTCCACATATGGATAAGGAATCGTCGGATAAACTACTTCACCCTGCGCGCTGATGCTGATGCGGAGTTCCTGGCCCAGCTGGACGAACGGCAGCTGGACGAGGATGATGTGTCGAACATTGAGGTGCCCTTTTTCGGTCGCCCACCACCGCGACGCCACAATCAGCTGGGTAAGCTGCGATCGGTACACCAGCAGGATGATGGCACGATTTTTGCCATCTGCGCCACTGGCACCTCCACCAAGGACTCGCTACTCTCATGGATACGACTGCTCGAAGCGAATGGCAATCCCTCCATAGGCGAGGTGCCCGTCCTTTTCAGGTTCACATCCACAGTGCCCGCCAAATCGGAGGAGATCGAGGGACCGACCAGTGTTCCAGCGACCAGCAGTGATAGCCCTAGTCGTAGCCGTAAGGAGGATGAGCCGAGCGTTAGTTAATTTATTAAATAAATTCATTGTTGAGCAAACTTCTGGTCGTTGTCTTTAATTTGGGGTGGAAATTAACGATTAGATTTACACAATTTCAAATTGTGAAGCCTGTTGGGTGCTGCCTGTTGCTGCTGCTCTAGCTACTGGTACATATTCTGGAGTATATACTGATCCGAGCTTAAACGAAAAATCACAGAACTCGAAACTAAATGTACAGAAGATCTAATCTGCCTGGATTTCGCGAATCTCTTTCTCTCTAAACCGCTAATTAAGTATTTACATTTCATCTGAGTTTGAAATATGTCAAATATATAATCTTAATATCAATATCGACTGTCTATCCAGCCTTTCACTTTGTGCCAGTTTTGTTGACGGGGAATACTTGCGTGACAACGCCGATGCCCTTGCTGGTGCCCTCGCGGAACAGGATGCGCATGCCGGGCCGCACGTACTCGGGATGGCCAACAAACTCAAACATCACGGAGGCACAATCGTTGGTGCCCAGCTTCTCGCCACCCATGATGCCCCTTATGACGGCAGTCTGGCGAATGCTGCCAATGTGCACGGTGGTCTGGAAGCCCACATAGATGGCCGTGGCATGGAACAGCACAGATACCTTGGCCTTAAAAAGGGAATCAATGAATAAAGTTTACCAGTAAAAGTGTCTCAAAGACTAACCTGAAAGAAGAACGTGCCATATGGCTCGTCCGGACTGTCGCCCAGCAGCACCATGCCGCTGCGCAGATTCGGCAGCTCTTGGTCCAGGGTGAACGACAGCGAGGCGCTCTGGCCAGCGCGTACCACACGACATGGCGCCTTATTGCGATGGATGGTATTGACGCTGACTGGAAGGAAGCTTCCGTTTGGCAGCGGACCAATTTTCAATGGCATATTCTCGGTCAGCACGCCTTGAACCAGGAGACCACCCACCACGGGACCCACGTCTGTGACCCGGAATATTTCATCGACCTGAAACTCGCACGACTCCTGCTCGAGGCGATCCTTCTCAGCATTGCTTATGCCCGGCGAGAGAACATAGAGAAATTTGGTGACCAGATTCAAGCCGGTTCCCGTGACATTCGAGACACAAAATATGGGCACAATGTTGTCCGACACCTGATTCGAGCCCGCGGATATGGCCTCGTCTGTATTGGTGACCACAAATGGCACCTTGCGGCAGCCAATGTTTGTGAGAAGTGTGCGCAGCTCCTGCACTGTGGCGTCCGGCGACGTAATGTCTGTTTTGGTTACGAGTATGAAGAATGGCATGTCCAAAGCACGCACAATGGCCAAGTGCTCCTCGGTAGTCTCGTTGCAGCCGCTGCCAGCCGACACCACGAGCATGGCATAATGCGGCGAGTAGCCGCTCAGCGCTTGGACCGTGGTGCGCATGTAGCGTCGATGGCCGGCGAGATCCATGAAGGTAACTAGCTTGCTGGAGCGGTCGCTGATCTCCTCGGCTGTCATCATCTCATTGTACTTGTAGTTGACCACATTCCCCAGCGCATCGAAGCCTAGCGTCTCGTGGGAGATGCAGGATGTGCGACCTACAGTTGAGGCAGAGGAGTTTATAAATGGCCAACAGGACTCACTTTCCACTTTGCTTACCCGACTGTATCTCGTGCATGTGCCTGAACATGTTGAGCCGTGCTCGTCCTTGTCCATTATCCAGTTCGTCTTGCGTGAGCACGCCCAGCAGCGTGGACTTGCCAGCATCAGCTCCTCCCAGTACTGCCACCCGCACCTCGATGTTGTGCTGATCGTCGGGAATCTTCCGCACCAGCACCTCGGCCACGGCCCGTCGAGAAGCAATGGTCTTGCGTCGCAGCACAGAGGTGCTTGCTCCCAAATGGTGGGCCATCTGCTTCAGCGTCATCAGCGAGGCGTTCATATCCTTCTCGCTGAGACCCTGCAGGTAGCCCGCATCGGACACACCAATCTCGTAAATGGCCTCGCCGTTGCCCTCACGCAGCCGCCACTTCATCTGTGTGACAAGATGCTCGAAGCGCTGCTTGGAAGGACTCACCAGCTTCAACTTGTACTCCACATTGCCCAGCTGTGGCTCCGGTGGCAGGATGCCCTGCTCGAAATCAAAGATCAAGTTGCCCGTGGCCGTGGTGGTGGCGGTGCCGGTGGCGCTGTATGGGCTGCACTCATTGGCATTGGCGTCCATCTCGTAGTCGCTGCTGCTGCTGCCCCCGCCGCTGGAGTTGCCATTTATCTCGGGCTCCTCCTCGAAGCCATCGTCCTGATTGGGATCAAAGAGACTCAGGAAGGACTCCATTGTGGCTACAAGTATTAGCAGATTTTTTATTGTTAGCTGATGGAAACAAAGGAACAATTTTCGATCTAACAAGAGATTTGGCCAATTGCGACATTGAGCACACGCACACACAGGAGAGTACATAAGCGGATTTGCATGTATGTGTGTATGAATGTGCATATGTATGCACATCATATCTGTTTTTCTTCGTTTTCCTCTTTGACTTGCAGCGACCTTGAAACTCTTGTTTATGTTTGCCCCCCTCCGACTTTGGGCAGATACACACAATGGGGAGGAATGGATGACATTCGATGGGTTGGGAGCTCCAACTGCTTACCCAAGAAATCAAATTAAAGCGATATTATTATGGTTCCCTCAACGTTCACTGGCACAAATAATTATAAACTTAAACGGGGTCTCCTATTTGCGCGCGGGTCTGCTCGCCTGGCACAAATTATCGATTTTGGCTGCGCGATGCCCACAACCAGGTCGGTCCAATCTGTTATTTGGGTATATCTCTTTCAGTATCTCTGCTGCTTCTGCTTCTGGCTCTAGCTCTGCCTCTTGCTCTGCTCCCAGTTTGTGCTTTTTGTGTTTGGCTGCCTTTCGATTTTGTTTATAACTTGCTCTGCTTTGTGCTACAACCACACGCTTAGAACGAGTATACACACACGCATACATACATGGGCATATTCAACCAAATACAAAAGTTCCGAAAGCTTTAACGGTACCCTGCACGAGCTGAGCATGTGCTTTACAGAATTCAGTTGCTCGCGCGACAAATTAAGTTGCGTCATTTGGGACATGTAAATTGTTTAGCTGTTCATTTACGCAAAAATCTAAGAACACATTCTTGCACTTGTCAAACTCTCTTTTATTTTGTAGATTATCACCTATGTCAAGCCCTTTTTCTAAAGAAGCGCATACAAAAGTCGTCTTGCACTTTGCCTTCTTCTTCTTTGCTTTTGGCATCTCTCTGGTTTCTGGTTCTACACAAACCTGAAGGCGGTTTTGTTTTGATCGAATCAGCTGCGATGCGTCGACGCACCTGATAGCAAACGACGCCAAACAGTTATGGCGCTATATCTTGAAATGGATGAAAAGCAATTCGCGAGAAAGCTTTTGAGTTTTTGGTTTTGGGGAATTTTACTGTTGTACGTGTCCAACAATAACGTATTGCATACGTGCGCTAATTTCTAGCGTTGCATATGTAGATACAACTGTACACATGTTTGCTGCACATCTTTGGTGCGCAAATTTCATCGTGTTGTGGGTCCAAACTTGAATTAAAAGGAGGTCAATGCACGGCGTATGCACTTACATTTCACAATTGTTGTAATAGGCCCAGGAAGGCCAGCGATTTCTGATGCAATATGACGCTGCGTTCAATAATTGCTGGTTCCGGGAATTGCGTGAGAAGAGAATCCGATCGGGCAGTGGTCTAGCTTCTTGTGGTCACTTAAATGCACTTAATTCATTTTTAAGAGCTATTTAAAGATTACTCAATAATTTAGATGTGTGTTGTGAGTGTGTCTGTGCAACAAAATGTATTTGTTTACACTTGTTGATATTTTATATTGATTTATCGATATGTACGTTGGTTTATTAATATATTTTTTATTGTTGGACTGACGAAAATATTAATGTTCACATTTTGGTGGAATCATGTTGTTCAGTGTTCAGGTAAGATTGACTTTACTTCTCTGTTTCACGTCGATTTATATATACCCGCGACTTTTGATTGTGCTTATCGATGGTCCATTGTATTCAGCGAAAGTATCGGTAGTATTGTGCGATAAGTGGTGTCCATGGTGCTCTCTCATAGCAAGTAGCTGCTGTCAGTCAGTTTTTGAGGTTGCAGCCAGCGGCCGTTTATCCAATTGAAATCGAACGCACGGTCAGTTGTTCAGGGTCTCTCGATTGGCGGCAAAATTCAAATCGCATTCACTTTCATAATATGTTTACGTTTTATTTCTTATCATTAACATTATTACTTTATCACAAATATTTTAAGCATTTTTACATATGTAGATAGTTACAATGATGTGTATATGGTATATGTATGTATGTGGGGGCTTATCTATGCATTTTTGTATGTACAACGAATGCTCTCCTTGAGGCTCATAAAATACTTATGGATAGCAGCACATTACTGTGTGTGGTTCTACAGGTTTTCGGGCTTTAAAAAGTTTCAACTACACGTTCGTTCGCTTATGGACTCGATATCGGGGGAAGTTTGTTTTCCTATAAACTCGAAGGAAGCTTACGATTTGCTCTATTTACGCTAAACTCAGACAGCTTCCTGGAATGCTACAACTTTTACATTTAAACATTATGACAATTCATTGATTCTTACTAATTGCTATAATTTATAGAAGTTTTTTTTTTTAGCTTTTTCGCTTATTCTTTTCCTTTAACCATTATCGAAATGAGCCGAAAATGATATGACAAACTTTTGAACACTTATAGTCGTTTCTTTTCTTTTTCCTAGCCCTTGTCTATGATATAGTTTTCCGTTTTGTTTCATGCTTAAATATGTGTAATTCTGATATGCTAATGCCTTGATAACAATTGCCAACAGAGTGTGGATCGAGTAACCATTTGAACTGCCTGCCCCTGCCTCCATTTCTCATCAGCATTTCATAAATTAAATATTTACACATGTTCCTATGTATTTTCGTTGTGGTGTCAGGTCCAGCAATCAATGAAGTGTCTTGCCCAAAATCGTGCTCATCAAATTGTCATCACCCGCTGGCGTTTGCTTTTGCTTGGCTCTAGGAATCAGCTGAGCTCTGCGCTTTTACTTCTCGACCCGCATAAATCATTTTATTAGCTTATTAAAAACTTTTCCATTTATTGTCATCATTTTGCGCTATCGTGCGCACAAATCCGTGCCCAGCTCTCTGTGTTCTGTGTCGCTGCCTCTTTTATTGTGCTCTATACCCATTCAATCGCTCGTGAGCTTATTATGCTCGAGGTTGGAGCTGGGACTGGAGTTACTGTAGCTGTGGCTCTGTGTGTGGGTTGGCTATCGCATATTTTTCTAAACTTTTCTTTATTGCTCACTTGTTGGCTGCCATGGCTGCCATGGCTGCTGCTGCTGCTATTAGCAGGGACAGGGACAGGGACAGGGACACATCTCGACCATACCCATTAAATTCAAATCGGTTGCTGTTCTTGGCGCGTGTTTAAAAGTTAAATAATGGCCAGTACTGGGCACGCAATGGCGCAAGACGTGTCCAATATAACTTTTCCCGTTTTTTTGGGCCTGCTCTGGGGTGGTCGATACACTCGACTTTGATGTTGTACATTTTCTGTGAGGGTTGGAAGGCAGTTCAAATAGTTGCGGCTTGGCTCAGGCTCTCTCGGTTAGGCAGGAAGAGGGGATATGTTTTTTTTTGTCGTAGCCAGGACAAACAGATTTAACAACGATTCTCGGATACTTAGGCAATTCAACTAGAGACGCGATTACTGTCCAATTAGGCGCTGCTTTCAGCTGGCGTCAAAGTTCTTGGAAGATTTGTTTCACCTCTTGGCCATTTTGGGCGCTCCCAAATGACGCTGACGCTGACGCTGACGCTTGCAGGCCTTGTTGAACGTTGAACGTTAAGTACGTTTTTGTTTAGTATACAATTATGGCTACGAATACACTTACTTACTCTAAACATTTACAAACAAACAAACAGAGACACTTACACACGCACACGCATTACATATATATATTTAAATCTTAGAGAGAGGGTTTTTCGTTTTTCGTTTAGTTCTATGAATTTCACTGCTAAGCGACGCTGCCGAATAGCTTTCATTCCGTGCAAAGGATAGTTACTCATTCGCTATCATTGTCTTACTTTTGAGTCGGCCTCCGATTCGGCTAGTGTTTTTGTTTTTTGTGCGCCAGTCTTTTGTTTGATGCCAAGGAATTCCCACTTCCCATGCCCATGCCCATGCCCATGCACTTGCCCTTGCCCCTACCCTTGGCCACGCTTAGACGCAGCTTTCGGGTCCGGGCAAGGTGTCCGTTATGATGTGATTGCGTCCGGCGCTGGACTTGTGCGTGATGGTGTTGAGCTGCGACGGCGACAGGCTCGTCCCAGCCATCACCGAGCCCAGGCCTAGGCCCTTGGGCAGCGTCATGTGGGTGGGCAGGGTGGCGGACATGGGCGATCCAGCGGCCGCTGCCTTGCTCAAATTGTAGTCTATCAGACTGCTGGTGGTCAGATAGTCGGCCAGGGTGAGTGTCGGATCATGGCCACCCACCGCAGCCCGCTGCAGGCTGCCCGATGTGGGCTGGCCCATGCTGTGGGGCAGCGTATGATGCATGTGGTGGGCGTAGTGGCTGCCAGCCCCTCCAGCTGCACCGTTTGCCAGCGCATTGCTCCCCGAGTTAACGGTGCTGCTGGCAGAGCTGAGCGTGCTGTTGCTGCCCCCACCGCCCCCTCCGACTACCGCATAGTTTCCCATGTTGAGGCCCAGCTGCTCGTAGCGACTGAGCGTGGGCATGGCATCGTAGAGGAGCGGTGCGGCCGTCGACGATGATGTCTGATAGCCCTTGGCCGCAGTGTCGCTCTCCAGCCGCAGGGTGCTCGACTGGGAGGGCGGGCTGCTCAGGTGCGGCGCACTCACATCCTGCAAAAAAGAAAAAAGAAAACAAATGCCAAAGAGTCAGTTCATGTATGTACATATGTACATATGTATGCATGTATGTTTGATGCACACTTACATAATCCATCGTTTTATGGTTCGCAGCATTGGCAGAGCTGGGAGCGGCTGATGGGCCGCCGGCACCACCTCCACCTCCACCTCCACCTCCACCACTGCCGCCCATAAATAAACCACTCGGCCGATTTCCCAGCGGCGACGATGTGTCACTGCCAGTTGCGCTTTTTTGTGCACTCAGTATGTCCGGCTGCTTTTCAATGCCCTGCTTCAAAGTGTAAGCCACAACGAGCCGCTGATGGCCAGCACCTGTTTCCAGAGGCGCCGTCACTGTCACATCCATGCCTGACAAAAGAACAACGACCACGCCACGCGCATTAGTCCCCCACCACTGAGCTGCCGCACTGCGCTGACTTACCCAAATGCTTGTCCTTGTCGTCGCACATGTTCCGTGCTCCGGGGCCGCGACGCCTACGCACAGCAATGACCACCACGGAGAGCACGGCAATGCCCACCGTAAAGAGTGTGCCAGCGAGCAGGGCAGCCAGCGGCAAGATTGACAGGCCCATGCGACCGTCTGCAATGCAAATGTGAACGAATAAATGGTGGGAGATTAATGAAAACCCAAACCCAGTAGTTTCTGCGGTATTTTCGAGCTTAAATTGTGGCAGAAAAAATACAATTTTGGCTAAATAATGGAAACATTTTTCACAGTGCAAAAAACGAAAAGAAAACAAAGTGAAAACAGCGAAAGTTTGATCACAAAGTAAACACAGCAACGCAGCTGGCTTGAGAAGTGTAACCGTACGGAATGCAGTTTACAACTCTGGTCACACTCTGCCTTTATGGGAATATATTGAGCAGTTTGCTAGCAAAATTCTGAGCCATTCTTTGAGTTATTTGCTTGAACAAAAATTGCTTTGAGAAACCAAAATTTAGATCCAATGCACATTTTGGGATCTTCGCTAGTAAATGTTAAGGCCATAAATGTGCGAACTATTATTGATAAATAAAACGCAAAAGAGCGACAAATGGTGCACACATTTGCACAAATATATTCCCTATAAATGTGTTGGCTATTAAAGATATTTGATGATGAGAGCACTATTGGCATAGCTGGGGGAATACCATGCCCGATAAATAGCCTTTTGCTTGTTGAGATTCGAATAAACTGAATGCAGCGAGCGAGACACTTGAATGCTGCTCGACCAGCTATTTTTATTTCAGCCGAGCAAGCATTCATCGCTCCGTCTCCCTCTCCCTCCTCATATTTTTCGCACATAAAACGCACAACGCATGTCAAGTGGTGGCCAAGGGAGCAGCAGGTCGTTCACTGGTTGCTCCTTTAGTTCTCTGGGTTTTTTTTTTTTGCCTTTTTAGTTTGTTTTTTTGTTGTATTTGAAAATGCTTTAGCATGGCTGCTAAGCATTTCAATTAAAATCCGTTTGACTGCCGCTGCGGCATTTCTGGGGAAATTCACATTGAATATGCATTACAAGAGGCAGCAGCAGCAAACATTTCAGGGCTAAACGTTGGCTATAATTTAACATTCAACAAATCATGCGCGCCTGCGGATATGCCACACAGAATTTCAATAAGCAAACAGCCAGGCGGCCAGGCGGCCAGGCAGCCAGGAGACAGCATAATACGAGCACTCCTAACCGGAACGGAACGACATGCTATCAAAATGTAACAGAGAGGGCGGCTGACTGCGACCGTTGCTAATTTATAAACCTGCGCCCAAAACGCCAAAGTTGCAAATCAATAAATATTCTTTTTGGCCGATGTATCGAATGTTGACGAAACAGCGCCGCTGGCCAAATTGCTCATTTATGCATGGCTGCGTCTAAGCGAACTCACACACACACACACCCACACACGGTCTCGTGTAGGTCTGATTTGTACGTGTGTTGTAATTGCTGGCACATGACT